AAGAGCGTTGTTGTTGTTGTTGCCGGCCGCTGCTACGGCAGAGGTCAATTTGGTGTCCACGTCACCTAATTTCGCTGTGATTGGCAGCTCTTGCAGGTTTTTATTCTTCTCAGGGATAACTAATCCTGCTTCGGTATAATCTTTTCCTTTCCCCCAAACAACCGAGTACAACCCTACGGCAATCACGACCCCTCCTATGACGCTGCGAACAAAGACAACATGAATAAACCAAGAATATTATGTTGCGAATCTTTGAATATTATTGGGATCTCTTTATGTCACGTGGAAACTAATATTCACCTTATTCCACGTCAAGATTCAAAAACGTGTTTTGTGTATATATATATATATATATCTATATATGCTTCAGTGCTTCACATCACATCAAGAATCAAGAATATGATACATCTATATATATATATATATATATATATACCACGTATATGCTCAAAACAAATATGGGTACCTTCCGAGATGAATTTGTTCATGGAGAATAAAGGAAGCAAGGACAGCGACAAGAACCATGCAAAGAGGGTTGAAAGCAGTCACAAAGACAGGGCCTCTTGTCTTCATCACCATGCCTTGAACGTAGTATGTCAATCCCGAGCTTATTATTCCCTTTTTCACATCATAATTTCAATTAATACTTGTACTTATACATTTAACTTTAACATATATATACACACACACATATATAGAGAGAGATGATGCATACATATATGAATATATACATACAGTGTAAAGAGGTGCGAATAGCCTTGCGTCCCAACCGACGGCCCAGCCGCTCGAACGGCGCTCCATGACCAGAGCCACGGCCAAGCTTTGGGCCGCCCCTGCAAAGCATATTAAGGCAGACAGCGACAGCTCGGCCGGATACTTCTTTATCGTTATGGACTGTGCACATGTACAGATATATTTATATATGTATTAACACACCGTACTACAAAAACGTTCTGTGTTTAACCTATGACACATGATAATCATATAAAGCATATGAGAAAAAATCGGGTTAATTTTAATTAGTTCCAATTATATCTGTGATGTGAATATCGATTAATCTTGGCAAATGACTATTGGTATATTGACATATTTATAAATATAGATCGATAAATGACTTCAGTATAAAAGGGAATTGGGTCTTGGGTATATTTAGAAAGTGTAAAAACAAATCAAAACCACCATGTTAAAGTTCAGTTGGTCCGTATTATTAGATAATTAGGGCTTAAAATGCAAACTACAAAAACGTTGAGGGACTTACTTGCAAAACATAAAAACCTGACCAAGCCACGCAACCAAGGAGGATCAACATAGTTCCAGCAATCCAATGGGCATGGTCTTGTGTGTCGTTCGTATTACCGTTGTGTCCGTCCAAATTTTGGTCGGACCACGGTAGAGGAACGACCGGACCTTTGTACAATGTCATTGCCAATGCCCCTCCAAGTGTAACCAATGTTCCAATTACCTTGGCTTGACTTCTTACCTCCTTAATATTCACTTTCTCCTGTCTGTTTCATATCATTTTTGTCATTGACAAAAACATTATAGGAACGTAATTAAGATCAAATTTAGTTAATGATGTCCGTTTACCTGAGAACTAAGGCGATTACGAACGTTATAGAAGGAAGGGCGTTCATAATAGCCGAAGTGTATGAAGCTGACGTGAGTTTCATTCCCAAGTAACCAAAACCCTGGTCCAATATTGGCCTATACATACGTACATGCGTGCAAACAAGTACACGTTAGGGTTTTTCTGATCGTTTTAGAAATAACGTGGCCATATTTCGAATTTCTAGAAGTTGGAAGATCTGGTTCGGGGGATTACTCTAGAAAACCAAGCGCCATTATTTGCAAGAAAACCGTAAACGTCATCTTGGGTCTCACCTTCCTGAGATTTCGAAAAATTAAGATGAAAAAACAAAGAAGAAAGATCCATCTCAAACTCGATAGAGAAATATATATATATATATAATCGATATATAATCGTTTTTATACCTTTCGAAGAAGAGAGCAAAAGGTGAGAGGACGAGAGCAGCTACGGCATTTCGATAAAAGATGAGAACGTAGCGGTTCTGGCCACGGCTGAGAGTGGCCATTAAGATAATATACATACCCGCTCCTCCAAATTGCAAACAAATCATTAACACATAAGGCTTCCACTTTTCGAAAATTTCGCTTAAACCCCCCATATTTTGAAATTGGCTATTATCTCCCCAACTGTCGATGAGCAAGTGATGAAGATGGCGCCACTCGCGAGTGTTACTTATATAAACAAAAAGAGGGCTCTATCGTTTTGGATAAAATATTGATATATATATATATATATATATATGATATTCCATTGTGTAGTGATCAATATGGATAAGTTGCTAAATGAAAAGATTGATGTGTTGTATTGGGGTGTGTGGGATTTAATTCCATCATTGGTTGGTTCAGACATGTAAAGCACCACTTAGTAGATATGTTGATTTTGACCATTCAATTCAGCAGACATGTAAATGCGGACTGCAGATTGTATACTTTGGAATATATTTAAAATAATGTGTATAATTTTAGAGCTTACATATATATACATATATATTGATAGATACTAAGATATATAAACAATATAAATGCAGGAGAACTCGAGGAATCGATATCGAAACACCAGTAGTTTTGTGTTTACATTGGGATCCAAATGCAAAACGTACGAAAGAACAATTAGATATTTCGAAATCAAATTAAAAAGATGAGGGTATATGTATATATATTACCAAAAAAAGGTATATGTATATATGTGTGTGATTGGGTTATAACGAGGGAGTGAGTGCATGGTGACACTAAGTCCAATTATGGGATGCTTTTGGTGTGCGAGTGCCCACTTGCTTGTGCTCTACGGATCACCAAAAAAAAACATTTGGATTAAGAGTGGTTTTCCAAGTGTTTGTTCCCATCTTCTTCTCCTCTCTCGACACAAACAAAACCATGTACACACACACACACACATATATATATATATATTAACTCATTCTTATTATATATACACAAATAAAAAAATCATTATTAATATTACTATACTATATATTATTGTTGTTGTTGTTGTTGTGCAACTAATAAATTTTTAGCTATAAAAAATCGATAATATTTAGGGCGGATACCATGAAATGAATCTTTTTTCTTCTTCTTGAAAAGCAACCTAACCTTAAACATTATCCATATGTTGATTTATTTGTCTCTCTTTTTGTAAAGTATACCGACAATTTCTTTTTTAACATCAATAATTTTCTTTGGGAGAAAAAAATGAAGCTACTAATTATGCCTAGTCTTCTTGTCAAGCGATCTATTTTTCACGTCTGTAATTGTGACCAACAAAAACATTTTATCTCTATTAAATGCAGATAAAAGATTCGGATATTCTGGATTTATAATATCTAATGATTTGGCGAAAGTTTATAGAATAATCAATGAATCTACACATAGTAATTAAAGAATATATTTTTACTAAACATATCTTAAAAAACCATTTCATGTAATAAAATTTCTAATTTGTCTACATATATCTTTACGCATTTGTTGTAGGATACATAAAATGTATGTCATCGAAAGTAATGGGCACTTGGACACCATGCATGCATGATATGGACCTCCTGCTCGGCAGTTGGTACAATTTGTTTGATATTTCGTAAAATGGTTAGATTTTAATTTTATTATTTTTTGTTTTTGAAAATTATATAAATTTCTCTTATATATTATGCAGCATAAAGCTGCTAAAAGCTTTTTCTAGAGATTAGGAAACCATACTTTAAGAAAGATTACGTAAAAGCTTATTGAATGATTCAGGATAATGCATTATATCCTGATGCTTTTGGTTCGTTCAACACTCACTATAAGTGAATACAATAATGATATCGAAATATGTAAAGACTCTCGCCCTCCTCGCCTCGTCTCGTTCCGTAGGCCGGGTTTCTTTAAGAGGTCGGTTTGATTATTTTCAAGATTCGCTTATTTTATTTTATTTTTAAAAACTATAACCACTCAGTTTTTGTATTAAATTCGTTTCGGTTTAGTTCTTTTCAGATTCAGTTTTTGTTGATAAAATACTCGTTTTCCAAAAAATAATATATGACTATTTATTTTTTATATTCGGTCTTTTCCATTTTAAAGAAATTATACCTATTCGAATTTTTTTTATATCGGATTTAGTTCAAACACGTTATGTTTTATTCAATTCAAATCGGTTGTTTGTATTGTTAACCGAATTGACCTCCCCTAATTGATAGAATAAGGTTAAGGCTGTGAACCGGTTGAGCTGAGATTGCATTTCTTTTGTTACTTTGTTTAAATTGAGTTCACTCACATTTAACCGGGTCTCGAACCCGAACAAAGCAAGGGACTTGTGATAGGTGACAACCAACATAAAATCTAATATCACATGTAATGAATTCTGATCATATAAACCTTTGTTTTGGACTCGGGAGTTCGGCATTTATCTATTGTCAGCGTGAAATCTTAGGAAATAACAGGGCCGGGAGCCCTAGGGTTTTGATGGGTGGCTGGCTGTCCGAGAATAGGGCTAGCTGTCTTCGGCTAGGGTTTGTACCCATCGATCGAATCACGACGTTTCCTTAAATGTGGAAAAACCAACAGAAGAAAAAAGGGATGGTTAGATGAACCAGACGGAGAACACTGCCTCTTAACTCGAAACTTAACCTACACGTCACCCTGCAGCTGGACAAATGATGGAAAACAAAACTTGATTAGTTGAAACACTTCTGGTCGGATCCAAGCAAGAGTTGTTTCCACCATTCAAGAAGAGGCAGTTCCGTAATGGCAATCGAGAAGTAGAAATGATGATAGAATCGTGTTGCCAAATCGATCACTTCCATCCGGGCAAAAGCAGCAGCAGCAGCGTCATCTGCAAACAATTGCAAGAACAATAGCTTTGATGATTCTAAAGAAATTCTACGAACCTTTTCTTTTAGCTAATAAAGGATGCGGAAAAAGGCGAAATAATTTTCAATGAAAAGAGACAATGTACGTGCCTGACTTGCACCACAGATTCGGAAATCAATCAAAAACAAAAAGTTAGTTAGTGATATATCAAAATCATAAAAGAGAGAGATATAAAGTGCCCCATGCATAAAACAGAGCATGTACCTCTTGGAGCCATCCAAGTTGATGGAACAGTCAAAAGATGAGGTTCTTCGCCTTCTCGGAGTTAAAAATGGCGAGACTTTGATCAAAGAGAATAAAGGCAAAAGGACAAAAGAACTGGACAAAGGATGGTAAGAACCAAATCAGCATCCGCAATGAGACATCGATTCTTATAGCAATAATAGTGAGAAAACCAGTCAAATGATTGTCCAAACAATCAGAACCAGTATGCCTTTTTCTTTTTTAATCCTACACGGAATTTATCAACACAAAGCAGTAGCTAACTTCTTCTGAATGAGCTCCACTCTGAGACGAGGTGACAATCTCGGCAAAATTTCCTGACATAAAGATGGAAAATTGGATCAAGTCGCCTTCTTCTGAGTAATGGATAAGAATGCATGCACCATTTCACAACATTCAAACAAATTTCCACAATAGACAGTTCCACTTGGTTGGTCCCTTTTTTTTTTCATCAGACACGTAAAGGGTCTAGCTAAAACCAGAAGATTCATCACATTATGTATGTCGATAATCGATATGGAAAGTCATAACCAATAATAGAAGCATTGATTCTAAAAGACTAACTGAATTCACTCCTACCGGCCACATCTGGCACGTTGGATCCAAAAATGTTGAACAAAACATATCCAGAATCATAAACAAGAGCTTAAAGCCTATGGTCATATGAAGCTCGAAATCAAGAAATAAAATTAAGAGCCCTGAATCTATTACACAAACCTCGGTGCCATCAGAGTTTTCTTTTGCAAGAACCGGTATTTCATATTGGTAAGCCTTCTCCCAGTCGGGATTGGTCGTGATATCCCTCACCTGACATAACTCAAGAAAACAATCTCAAGACATAAACTTCTACAAACTAAATCGAATTTGAGTTCTACATCGTTTACATTGGCTCATTCCAGCAAGAAATTTCCCTTCCACATAATTCAAAACACTGGAAAATGAATCTGAAACTAAGCTATGTAAATCCTTTGTTTCATCATACGCAGAAGAATCCTGATAATTACGAATTCAAACCACTGTAAAATGGTAATTTCAATTCACTTTGGAGAAGAACAAACAAGAACATAGAATAATCAGAACAAGTTCCAAACTTGTGCCCTAATGGGATTGCAGAGGAGGGAAATCGAATTTGAGCAACGAGGGTTTAGGGTTTCCGACCTGCAGGACGACGTCATGGAGAGAATCGGGACCGGAGAGCAGGAACGCGGCCTGAAGCTTCTCTTTCAGACCGTCGCAGAGACAACAACCTGGTTTCGAATACAGAACAAGCTTCCTCGTCTTCGGAGTGGAAGACGAAGAGGAAGACGAACAATTCGCGACAGAAGAGAATACCCACTTCGGTCTCCGTCTCGCGAGAAACGCCACAGACGACGGCCTCACCGCCGCCGCCATCGAAGCCGATATCGCCGCCGCCATCGAAGCCGGAGACAGCAAACAGAATGTCCACCGCAATTGTGATAACGTGATTCTTTGGACCGTTATGATCGAAACTCAGATCATTAAGATCCATAAAGCCCATAATTACACTTTAGGCTCATAACTTACAATAATGTGACAATGGACCCATAAGATCACAACAGGCCCATAGAAGCTTTTTATATTCACAAATGGCCCATAAATTACCACAATATACCAATAGGCACATAAATTATATAAAATTAAATATAGGCCCCTGAATTATCATCGATTTCATATAGATCTATAAATTACCATAGTACAAAAAGGTCCCTGACGTCTAGATATAGAATCTGCCATAAATTACCACAATATACCAGTAGGCCCATAAATTACATAACATCCAGAATAGCCCCACAAATTATCATAATTTCACATTAGCCCAATAAATTACCATAAGCATAAAAAAGGTCCACAACTTGCCCTATAGATATACAGAATCTTCGCATCTATATATGCTCTTGGGGAGTCTACATGAATGTTTTATTTTTGCAAAAACATATTACATGTTTCGCATAAGCGAAAAATATTATTCAGATTCGATTTTTTTAAGGTTGGTGGGCAGCTGCAAGATTGGTTGTCTATTGATGAAATGAAAATGTTATTCGATATTAAAAATCAATTCAAGGTACAATGGGAAATTAAATATTCCAGCCTGTAACTTGTATATATATATATCCCGAAACTTTATATATATTACATATATATATATATATATATTAGATGAGCTTCTTCTTGCGGAAAAAGCGTTTGAGATGCAAAACTTGAACAACTGAAACGACAACGCACACCAACATAGACACGATGCTGAGCTGTGATACTCTCTCGTTTGTTGTTTCGCTCAAGTTCCTCATATATGATTCCCTACAACACCACCGATTTAAATAAATTATAACCAATGCTTATTTGCATCGGGTAGCAATTCAAATCAATATATACGATATGAATACATTATACATAATACATATGTATATATATATATATATACCTGACACTTATATAGAGCATGTTTCTCATGATGGACTCCACAGTTTCTTCGTGTTTCCGCAAGGCAAGCTCAATGCCCTGGAACAAAAGCCATTTCAAATGATATATATATAGTACATACATACAAACATTGAGAGATACGTATGTTGTAGAAATACATCGTGCATATATGATGAATATGCAATGCACCAAATCTGAAAAATTGTGAAACTTGACCTCGAGTTTCTCTTTCTTAGCAATTGAATCCCAATCTTTAGTCGGCATTCAACGTGAAACAAGCCATGTATGTTCCTGCCTCCGTCGCCGTAAACCCGAACTGACCATGAGTGACGTTCTTAACGTTGTAGAGCTCGTTCCCGTACGGAGACGTTACCTACAAAAATCGGAATTTAAGAGACGCCATCTAGTTTAATTCGAATCCAATGATTGGATATAGATTTGTATATTATTTTTCACAAGGGCATTCAACGTGAAACAAGCCATGTATGTTCCTGCCTCCGTCGCCGTAAACCCGAACTGACCATGAGTGACGTTCTTAACGTTGTAGAGCTCGTTCCCGTACGGAGACGTTACCTACAAAAATCGGAATTTAAGAGACGCCATCTAGTTTAATTCGAATCCAATGATTGGATATAGATTTGTATATTATTTTTCACAAGGAATTGTGCGATTAATTAAATTCCATCAAAATGTACATATTTACACAAGTTTTGCAATTATCACGATTCACGAAAATACAAGATACTGCTTAGTGTTAGAAAATGACTCAAGCCTGTGCAAGGGAAGCTGAAAATTGAAGAGGTTGTGACGTGATTTTTTTTTTTTGTAAAAGCAGTTTTTATTTTAGCAGTTAATGATTAGTTTGTATTTTGTATTTTGAAGTTAAAGTTGTAACTTACATCAGTTATGTGTTGTTTTATATATGTTTGTAAGAACAAAAGAAAAACGTAATGGATGCATATATATATTTTCAGCAAAATCTCTTTGTTTCTAACTCTGCATTTATTGAAAAAACAGATTGTGAGTGAAAGTTTTTAAGAAAATAACAGTGGTATCAGAGCATTTTTATCTTGTTGGGATCTGTGAGGGGAAAAAATAAAATCTATGAAAAAAAAAACAAAATCGGTGAACAAATGGAGCAAAATGATGGATCAAGTTCTTCGACATTGTCAAATCTGGCCACACCAATGTTCGATGGAGAAAACTATCAGAAAGGAGCAGACTTATGGGAAGCCGTTGAAGAGGATGACGAGGTTCCTCCTCTCGGTGCAAATCCAACAGTGAATCAAATAAGAATCCACAAAGAAAAGGTAACGAGAAAAGCAAAGGCGGTATCATGTCTTTTCTCTGCAGTTTCTCAATCAGTGTTCACGAAGATAATGTCGTTGGAAACAACAAAAGGAGTGTGGGATTTCCTGAAGAAGGAGTACGAGGGAGATGAGAAAATCAGGGGAATGAAAGTTCTCAACTTGTTCAGGGAGTTTGAAAGACAACAAATGAAGACAAGTAAATCTGTCAAGGATTACATAGATTGATTGGTAAGCATTGTGAACAAAATAAGGATTCTTGCCGAAGAGATTGAAGACAAAAGAATAGTGCAGAAGGTGTTGGTGTCAATACCAGAACGTTTTGAAGCAACTATCGCATCTCTGGAAAATACCAAGAAACTTTCAGATTTGAAACTTGCTGAAGTTCAAAGTGCTTTGCAAGCACAAGAACAAAGAAGGATTATGAGGAGCGATGAATCTGTTGAAGGCGCGTTGAAGGCAAGTGTAAAGAACTGGAATGCTCAAAAGTGTAAGGGACCGAATCAGAATTTTGATGCTGGAGAAAACAAGAGTGTATTCGAGCCATGTAAGCATTGCAAGAGAACAAACCATCCTCACTGGAAATGTTGGAAAAGACCAGATTTCAAGTGTAGGAGATGCAGCAAACCGGGTCATCATTAACTGCTAAAATAAAAACTGCTTTTACAAACTTTTTTTTTCACGTCACAACCTCTTCAATTTTCAGCTTCCCTTGCACAGGCTTGAGTCATTTTCTAACAGTCCTCCTTGACTCATGCCATCTCCAGCATACCAATTTGCACATTCAACCTCTTTCGGCATAAGTTCTTCATTCTTTTCACTTGTAGGATTAAAACAGTAACTTTCATTTTCCATTCGAATCTTGAACAGAACTTCATTTGTATCATTTCTAATGATAACTCATTTTTGTCGAAAATCACTTTATACCCTTTTTCAACTAACTTAACAACACTCAAAATGTTTTGATCAATCTGAGGTACAAATAGCACATCAGACAACAACTCATAATTTTCTGATCCTTTGATCAGAACATCACCTTTCCCTTCAACATAAATGATTTCACCATTTCCTATTCTCACTTTCGACTTGAACGAAGTGTTTAACTTCTCAAATAAACTCTTATCTCTTGTCATATGATTCGTGCATCCACTATCCACCAACCATCCATCTTTGACAGCATTTGAAATGAAACAAGATGCGACAAAAAGATTTTCTACCTCATTTGTCTCTGCCGGTTGTGCTTCGGCAATTTGCGGCATTTCAGTTCGACAAAACTTCTCAATATGACCCGGTTTGCTGCATCTCCTACACTTGAAATCTGGTCTTTTCCAACATTTCCAGTGAGGATGGTTTGTTCTCTTGCAATGCTTACATCAGGGATCACTGATATTTGTTACTCCCGTCGATATAGAAAATACGATCCTTTTATACTGGCATCCCAAGCAGATCAGGTATGTTTTATCCCTTATCCAAGAGA